AGAAATGTATTACTTATTAAAGTTATTACACTCAACTTAATGTCTCTTTTCATTTGTGCAATGAAAATAACAGGCACACTCTTTTCTCTGCATAAACACTCACCCGCATATGCGCGGCATAAACACGCACGCGCACACGCGCATTATAAACACGCGCGCGCACGTGCTCGGCTTTTCCTTTCATCAGAACGTGAAAAACATGTGAACTCATGCTTCAACTCGGTGGCAATACACCACGAGGGAATGCTAACTCACGGAGCTAACCGCTAACTGGCCGTACTTTGCAGCACTCACCGGGAAAAGAAAAGATTCAGAAAACTGGTAAGGTCCCAGGGTCGTTCCTCCGTGGTTCTCCAGATGCATAAAAGCACAATGTCCGCCAATCTTCTCAAACACGAGGGAAAAAGGCTGTGCACTTGAAGAAAGGGATAGGAAACCCCGTACCGTAGTGGGCGTGTCCATGAACATAAGCAGTGCGCATGCCCATGAGTTTACAGTTGAGGGAACTCAAAAAATCTTGTATAGGTGATTTGAAACTCCTTGTTAAACCAACTTCTGAGAATTTGAGTTGGGCAAACGTGTATTTATTTGTTAGATGTCAAATTTATATTTCTGAGTCGGATTACAATACAATTGTGTGTTAGAACAACAATTGCCATTTACTTTTTTAACAGTGTGTACTTTTACACATACTGTTCTTTCTTAAAGATATTAAGATAGAAGTAATTCATTCAACTTATAGATACAAATACATATAGATATGCTTTTGCAGGGATGTGATTATCACACTGTACTTGGAAATAGTTTGCTCACAGATCATCCAGTTTTCTCTTGTACCTCCTGAACTTTATCAGCCTAAAGCCGTCAAACATACTGTAATGTCTCAAAGAGGTTTTCTCTGGGGGCACTTTATTTTAGGCGTTATGACATAGCAAGCATGGATGGATGGTTCTGACAACATCTCACTGGACCTTGAGCTGAAGGCAGTGACCTTAAAGGAATAGTACACCCAAAACATGATTAGCCTTCATTTTCTACTCACCCCCATGCTGAACAACACTCTGGAGTACTTTTTTGATATCTCAAATGCATCTGGAGATCTGGGAGGCTTCTTGCTGTCTGCTGACATTCAAATAATGGAGGTCTATAGTGCCCGAGACAGAAAGGTCCACAAAAGTCCACAAAAACGTGTCAATATTCGTCCATACTGCTCGTCCAATGTAATTCAAGTGTCCTGAGTGGGTAGCATCCAGAATTTACTCGAAACGAAGTCATTTAGAACGTTTAGAACGTTTAGAACGTTTTTAGAGCGCCCCCATGCGCGCTCACGATTCTACGGAAGCCGGCAGACCAAACCGGAAGAAAGTCCGCATTCAGCGTCTGCTCTGCCGATAATGCAAGCGTAGAAGAAGAAATGTGCTGTTTACCTGTGCAAAGAAAGAAACAACGAAAGAAAAATGTCTGAGGACTTCAGTGTTGAGGAAGAGCATGAATTCTTTGCCGAGCTGAATGCGCTGGTTTGGTCTGCCGGCTTCCGTAGAATCGTGAGCGCGCATGGGGGCGCTATTAGGAAATCCTATACACTACTGTTTATGCTCTAAAAACATTCTAAATGACTTCGTTTCGAGTAAATTATGGATGCTACCCACTCAGGACACTTGGATTACATTGGACGAGCAGTATGGAGGAATATTGACACGTTTTTGTGGACTTTTATGGACCTTTCTGTCTCGGGCGCCATAGACCTCCATTATTTGAATGTCAGCAGACAGCAAGAAGCCTCCCAGATCTCCAGATGCATTTGAGATATCAAAAAAGTACTCCAGATTTTTGTTCAGCATGGGGGTGAGTAGAAAATGAAGGCTAATCATGTTTTGGGTGTACTATTCCTTTAAGGTGCTCTCAGCTATGAATAGCAAATAGCCTCAGAGAAAAGATCAAACCTCCTTGTTAACACTTCCTCCTTTTAAATTTCACAAAATAAGAAAGACTTTTAAACAATGAAAAATAATTTTTTGAAGACAAATGGAAGTGAATGCAAAGTCACTATAAAGATTTTGAGGCATGACATGCTTTCATGTACTTGTTTTTGTTACCTTATGGGGACAGTGTAAGGCCAAATTTTGTTTAGGTCTAAAGTGTGAATTTTGTTTGGGTTAGGTATATGTTGGTAATGGTTAGGGTAAGGGTCTGAATGATGCCATACAAACGAATGGAGGCCAATGAGAAGTCCTTATAAAACATGGAATCAAGAAGTGTGTGTGTGTGCAGGGTGATGTGCGTTAGAATAGCAGCGTAGCAGAAGGTGCTGAATGAGTGGTGACTCATGTCCCACAGTGCAGGAAAGCATCACTGCTACCATTGTCGCTGTTGGTCAGCGTCTGGTTCCCTCTGGCTCTACTCTGAGGATTTCACAGTGCTCTCTCTCCAGTATGAGTGTCTGTGTGGGGTTTAGGCTCCTCATACTCTCAGGGATATCACTTGTTCATTAGCATTTCTAATACCTGTGATGTGTACATTGCAAAAAATAACATCATGCTCATATCCAAGGTATACATTCTGTCTTATGGCAGAACTAATTTTAGGATTTACTCTGCTTAGGTGCATTTATATGGAGCTATATTTATTTTATTTTTATTTTGTAATGCAACCAAAGAACACATTTCAGAAATTGAAGTTTGAAAAACATCTCAATCACAAAAAGGTTTTTGCCATGTAACATCAAAGTATGCAAGTTGGACCTACATTTTTGCTATTTCAATTTAAAATAGAAATAGAAATTATGTAGAAATCCAGTTCAATGAATAACTTCTCCAATCCAATCTCCATTTTCTTTTTATAAATTACATTCCCTACTTTCCTGTCTCCACACCTTCAGAGGACTGATCCTACTCTGAGGTGTGGAACAAAGATGCATTTGTATTTTTGTCTACATTTAGGTTAGTATTATAATTTCTATTAACCTTGGATTGTCTATGCTATCCCTAATCTAGATATTAATCTCCTTTATGTTGCTCTTCTAAGACATTCTTTATTTATATCTAAAACATCCCCCTTCTACTTGTTTTTTCATCTAAATATAGTGAAGCAATGCTTGAGTAAGAGAGTGCGGTTTATCCCATTTCTTATTAATTCCAATATCACCATAGTGCAGAGTGATCATGTTAGTGCCATGCTCGAGAAGTATTTTTTTTTGGTTTATACACACAGGACATTATGACTTGTGTAAATATAGGAAAATCATTTTTAAAAAGCTTCAATCAATCCTTTAAACAGCATGTGTTAATGTAATGTGCAGAAAAGGGAAGACCCAGAATTCAACCAGAACAACGAGACATTTTAATAGTTTATTAGCATATGAAAGTGCCGCAGGTCAGGAGGAACAACCATCCAAGAACAAACACCAGCATTCTGTTTGCTGGCTTCAGCTCAATCTTCAACACCGCCCACCCAAACATTCCCTTCCAGAAGCTGAAGCTCACCCAGCTCACAGTGCCAGCCTCCACCTGTCAGTAGATCACCAGCTTCCTGACCTGACCTGACCTGACCGGGCCGGTGATACGGGAGGCATATCTTTTCTCCCCAAAAAACAGCAATTTTTTCTTTCACACTCCTCCTCTCTCTTTACACAAACGACTGCTTATCATCTGTAAAACTCCCAAAGTTTGAAGATGACAACATTTACTTTGGTCTTATCCTGGCCAGTGATCACATTAATATTTTGAAGGCAGACTAACAGGCCATTGAGGGTAACATTTCTAGCCGATAGATAGGTGATCAAATATTTATTTGCAGCTGTATCATAAAAATAAATAGTAAAGAAAATCATATATTGTGATTTCGTTTTTTTTTTTTATTTTTTTTTTAGTGGACATGCACCTGTAATGACAATTTCAGTCCCCTCAATGTTTCTTAGTGGGAGAACTTGTAAAATAGTAGGGTGTTCAAATCATTATTTTTCTCACTGTATTGTTTGTATCCAACAAGGAGTTTGAATTTGAAAAGCTACAAACTGTAGTGAAATATTGATAGTGATAAATAAATCTATTATTTAGTTTTTAATGAAAACCAATAGCCTTGACTCACTTTTCTGACTGACTGCCTGCTTATGATCCTCATTAAATGTACTTAGCCAAATTTTTTTATCATTGAAGATGGATGGTGTCTAAGTTTAAGCTGGAAATTATTTTAAATGCTTTATCAGATATGACATGTGGATCATTGTAATGGACTTTTAATCTGTTTTAACAAATCTGCTGTGCTTTGCATTTAGATTATGCAGACTTTTAACAGAGATAAACAGGGGTCAAATATTAATCCTGTCTTGGCTTCACTTTAGTTCTTCAAAGCTAATTTTAGAAATACTTTGATTTTTTGGGACATTCATGGTCAGGGCCCCTAAGACATCTTTGATCTCGGCTAATCTCCCCTCCTCCGCTGGAGCTGTGCTGTTCAGAGCCAGTTAAAAATTGTAAGGGATTCTACATCCTATTGACTCTATTAATTACTTCAAAAAGGCAGCTAAAAACATATTTTTCTGACAGGATTTATGTTAACGTGTGTTTTAATATTTTTTAATTACCCCTTTGTGAAGCACTTTAGGGTTTTATCCGTGAAATAGCTATACAAATAAAATTTTACTATCTTTATTTTTTACAAGCAATAGATAAACTAATAAAAAAAAATTGTTTTAACTCATAATTTTAAGATATGCCAATAATATAACATTTTTTACCTTGTGACAGAGATGTGAAATCATTTGAAGTCTTTTTTAGGTATTGAATATTTTTTAACTAGCTATGAAGAACATATAGTTTAGTTAGTCAGTAATTTTTTTGTTTTATATATATATATATATATATATATATATTGTATCACTAAAGCTTAACAAAATCAATGCAGAAATCAATTAGAGGATGTTCAGCATGTCTAATTTTAAGTTTACCATTAGCATTAAATTAAAGATCATTCTATTCATATTCCTGTTGTACTCTTTGCAGTGCTGATGAGCGCTTTGATGCCACATTTCACACCAATGTCCTGGTGAACGCTTCAGGTCACTGCCAGTACATCCCCCCCGGCATCCTGAAGAGCACCTGTTACATCGATGTGCGTTGGTTCCCTTTTGACGTACAGAAGTGTGACTTAAAGTTTGGCTCATGGACTCACAATGGCTGGCTTCTGGACCTCCAGAATCTTGATGTTGATACCTCCACTTACATACCCAATGGAGAATGGGACCTTGTGGGTAAGAAGGCATATTACACTGCAGCTTAACAATGGAGGACAGATTAAAAAAAAAAAAACATTACTTAAGTGCCTCAAATTCTTTTAAACATTTTAGGATCCTTCATTTTGGAGTCAAAAGACTATAAGAAAATAATATCCTCAAGGATATTGTTATTTATCACATCTAAAACAAATGCTTTGCAAGGGGAGCTCTTGCAAAGCAATCTGGACATATCTGTGCATCAATGATCACTACTGTTCAAGGTAGCCTAGTAAACTAGCCCCACCCACCAGTGGCCAAAATAATTTTTGCCTGCGAGTTGGTCTAGCCTCGATCAATGCCCCAGGTCCTAGAACTGGCAGACCAATCACAACGCAGACATATGTTTTGAATTTCTGGATGCAAAGTGATTAGAGCAGACCTTTGAACACAGCAATTGTTTGAAGAATCATGCTGAGGTTGATATGAAGATATTTTTTGTTAGATGATGGCCTGTCCTTGTAAAAAAACAAAAAAAAACAGTTTTATTGATTTAAAAATCTAGAGACTGTTGCAGCGATTAACCTCTCAGCAGGACACAATTCAGCCTTCACTTCAATGGGATGGTCTAGTTCAAAGCATACATGGACACGCTAGCATGTATATAATATGTTAACGTGGTCCCATCAAAGACCATGTATGGTTCCTATTGAGAATCTGCAGGTATCCCACATGAATTATCCTGATTTAATTTGCAAATAAGAGTGGGCAGTTATTTCAGCCTCTAAATATGGAAGGCTGGTAGATGCAAATCCCAAATAATTACAACAGATTTTAATGAGTAAAACAATGTAAGTTTAATGGGTCTAAAACAATGCGTCATGTAACAGTTCATCACATAATGTTTTACAGCAAAGTTTATGGCATTGTAAAATGTGAATAGCTATAAGGGGATAAATACAATTAAAAGGCACACAAGTTCTACTGCACTAGCAAACAGTCATGTTTAGTTAATTAGAATATGAGACTCAGTTCAATTCAGTTTATTTATATAGCACCAATTCACAAAATACAACATCCCAAGGAACTTTACAGAGACAAACTTTTTTTTTATCAAGGAAACCAGTTGATGGCATCCAGTTATTGACTTGCCAGACGTGCTCCTCCTGGATGAGCTTGTGGCAATGATTTTCACTTGCATTTTGTTTTTGACTCTTCATTAATCCCTCACACCATAAATGCATCCAGCGACAGTGGAGAGGAGAAACTCCCTTTTAACAGGAAGGAACCTCCAGCAAAACCAGGAACAGTGTGAATACATTTGACAAATGTTCAATTCAGTTTATTTATATAGCACCAATTCACAAAATACAACATCCCAAGGAACTTTACAGAGACAAACTTTTTTTTATCAAGGAAACCAGTTGATGGCATCCAGTTATTGACTTGCCAGACGTGCTCCTCCTGGATGAGCTTGTGGCGATGATTTTCACTTGCATTTTGTTTTTGACTCTTCAATAATCCCTCACACCATAAATGCATCCAGCGACAGTGGAGAGGAGAAACTCCCTTTTAACAGGAAGAAACCTCCAGCAGAACCATGCACAGTGTGAATACATTTGACAAATTTGCCAGATTAAAAATACATTTTAAGCAGCTATTAAATCTAATTTTAGTTTAGCCAAACATCCTCTATTTCTTTATTGATGTAATGTTTGTAGTTTTAAATTGTGCTTCCATTAGCTATTAGCTGAAAATTTTTAAAATTAACTGAAATAAAGGTTTGAATAAATCAGTATGATAAATATATTTAACTTGCTTCATTTGGTGTTAGATGTAATTGAAATAAATTAAATTTAAAAAAGTAATTTGTTGAATAGCACTATATAAATTAGTTGTAGTTCAACGGAAAAAGGATGGTTGCTAGTATTATTTTTTTGTGTGTTTTTTAAGTAAAACATTGTGTATACTTTGAAATCTGAAATTATAAGTAGCCTTACTATTCAGGCTGGATAACAGACTTCTACCAGGACTTACTGTGAGGGGGGAAGCTGAAATAATCCACCCCATGCAGAGAGGTGAGGAGATGATGGAGATAGCTGAGGTTATGCCATCCAAAAGAGGAATTAGAAAAGGTTTATGCAGCAGAATCTTTCATGCTGTGTTTTTCCACCCTGGTCAATTCAGAAAAAGTTCCTTATGTCAAGACCGCCTGTTGTAACGATTAGCAGGAAATGAGTGTCAGACAGGGCCAGATGGTATACAGAGGGAATTTTCGACTTTCTTCACGGTAGGTAACAATAGCATATGCCCATCTCAAGAATTTGAGCTGACGATAAGACAGTTCTTCCATCAAAAATGAAAAAGTTCAACTGCTGCAATTTTCTGTCCATAACTTTCTAATACAAAGTTGAAATAAGGACATGATGAAGTTTAAATCTGAGAGAGACGAAGTCTCTCTAGTGGAAACTTTCAGGGTCAAGAAAATAACATTCAGCTCAGTGAACTCTGTGAGGTGTTTCTCATCTTAACCATAAATTACACCTAGTCCCATCTTAAATTTATTTTATCAGTTTATTCATAGGTCCATATGTGCAATCCTTGTTCTCCCCCAGGTCTCTTTTTTTTTATCCCAGGGTGCAATTCTCAGAGTGGCCATGGACCAACTGGAGATATTTAACCTTTTATTTTGTAAATGTTTGTTCTCAGGGTTGTGCCCTCTGCTTGAGTTTATTTTCAGTTTCTTTGTGTTCTGTGTCTTTGTAGTTGTTTTTATTTATTTTTTACCAGTGCTGAGTTCTTTAGTTATTCTCTGTTGCCTCCTTGTGCTTTTTTCCTTTCCCCTTGGCATCCTCCTAGTTATCCACACCTGCTCCCAATCTGCTGATTAGCCTTGTCTTGGTTCAGTCTCCCCCTATATATACACCACCTCTGCAGTCGCTCAGTTGTGATTTGTTGTTGTGTAGTTGCTTCCTCATCTCTGGCTCCCAATGTGAGTTTCCCCTGATGTTGTGCTGGCCTTTTGGTTCTTTGGATTTTGCCTCAGTTGACTCATTAAACCTCACAAGCTTCACCTCTGACTCCTGATCTTTGCATTTGGGTCCGCAAAAACCTCTACTCAACTCTGACATTTATATAGTATAGTTTTAAGCAACTTCTGGTTTGTTTTTATAAATGATAAAAGAAAAATAGAAAAAGTAACTATATTATTACTGAACTGTTAATGTCTTTATTAAGCAAGAACTTTCTAAAAACAAAGGAACAGGTTAAAATACTGTTTCAGTGGATATATACCGATACAGTTAAATTTCCTTTGTGTGGCAGATTAAGGTTTACTTTTATGCATTCTTAAAGGAGTATCCAGAGTTTTATGCAGAGGTTTGCCTTGTCTCACAATAATTTGAGATGATGGCAGGTGTTGTGCACGTCCATGGAGGAAAAAGAAACCATGCACAGGTCTCAATGTAAAAAAGTATGCATAAATGATAAAAAATGTTTTAAAGAAGTATCCTAACCTTTTACCAAAAACCAGGCCATTCCTAGGGCAGATCAATTTGTTGAAAGCTTTGTATTTACTCTTATCTTATTCTGGCAACAATCAGCTTCCTGTTTAGCAATTTTTGTAGCACTTAACAGATGTTTTATTTTCTTGCTTTTCTGTGGTGTCTCTGATAGGGTTTGAGGTGCACTTAAGGATTGTGTTTTGTGATCCATTTTCACAAACCATTGAAGCCCTGTCTTTTTGCTGCAACAGCAGCCGGAATCACTCTCTCATGAACTGACTAATGGAACCTACAGAGACAACTGCATTAGATATATGAAAGCTTGTTTCACATGTTGGACAATTGTAAGGGTATTATGGGAAAGAAAAAAAAATACCTATTAAACTTGTGCAAAGCATCTTTAAAAATATAGAGGTCTTCCACATCAATAATTTTCTTCCATTGCAATCCTTTTTTAAATTGTTTCCAACACCACTGAACATAACATTAAAGAGGAATATTTTTTTCATCTACTAGGAGATGTTTTGCTGAAGAAGCATCTCTGAGATTTACCTTTTTTTTTTTTTACCTTTGGCAGTTTTACACAATGCCTGTGTGAAACAGAGCGGGCAGAGTTTACATCACTGTTTAAAAACAAAGATGATTTTGTTTTTTATTGTGTTTAACATCCTGTATTTGAGATAAGCACAGTTGGTGGAATTAGTGTCCTTACTGGAAACAGTGCAGTCATCTACACAGTAAGGGCCGGATTTATCAAGATCCAATTTTGCGTGCAGTAATTTGCGCTCGCAAACTGGAATTTTGCGCGAGGGGCTGAACCATGGTTTGCGGGTGATTTAACAAGAGTGATTGCGTAACTGGTGGAAGGTGCAAAACTGTTGGAGACGCCCTATTTAAATGATGGTTTTGCGCGTTTTGTGGTTTGCGGCAAAGTAGTTTGTAGTCTGTACAAACTAGTGCATTAAGAAATTTAAATCTTACAGTGACACCCAACAAAAAAATAAATAAATAAATAAATATATATATATATATATATATATATATATATATATATATATATATATATATATATATATATATATATATATATATATATATATATATATATAAATTGGCAACCTTTATTCCCTAAGGTTGTATGTGCTGCAGTAAAAAACAAAACAAAAAAACAGGTGTTTTGTATTGGCCTGTGACTGTGAATGAGATCCCCGCAGCATTTGGCACGTTGCTCCACAGGCGCGGGGGGAGAACCCCGACCCCGTCGGACAGCACTTCTGAAAAAACGAGGTTGGGAGATCCCAGCTCTCGCTGCAACCGTACGCTGGAATGACCCAGATGCAAAAAAGTGCAACGTTGCAAGGAGTTTAGTGATATCTGGTATTGCGTGGGTCCTCCTTGTGGCTGGCTCCAAATCCATTCGGAGTTCCCCCAACAGCTCCAAAATGGCAATGCTGGATAAACGATATGTTTTGATGATCGTTTCCTCGTTCATTGCAAAAATATTCACACGGAGTGAAAAAATGCGTTCTCTGCGTCTCCTTGCTTCATTTCCATGTCTCCTTCTTGCGACAATAACCGCTGCCATGTGTGAGTAATTACGCATACAGACCATTTGCACCTTCTTTTGAAACGTGTTAAATATAGAGTCAGATACCGTTAGCAAAATTGCGTTCAGGTTTGATAAATCACTTTGCGAGTGCTAAATTAATATATTTACATGTTCTCCTCCCACATGACGCACTTTTGCGTGTAAACGCCCCATATTGCATATTCATTGCAGAAAAAGTACTAAATGGATAAGAGGCGCTATTTAGCACGTTTTAAAGACCAAATCCTTTTAGCACGCTGTTGATAGATCAGTTTGTACATTTTTTAGCGTGCGCAGTGAAATAGCTCACGTTTTTATACACGCAAACCTTTGATAGATCCGGCCCTAAGTTTTTTCAAAATGGTTGCTAGCATTTCCAAATCCATCCTAATGGATTGTTCAGTCTTAAAATTATAAAACGGAAAAATTGTGGAGAGTGACGATCTAGGCAATTTATAAAACTAGAGAGAGCATTAACATTATGCAAGATCATTGGTCCTAAACTCAGACTTTCTGGCCCCTAAACAAGACTCTTGACCCTCAGACTGCTCCGAGACCACCAACACAGCATTGGAGCCCACTGCTTCACAAGGAATACATTTCCTTTCTAGAAGCTTCTCACGATTTTTGTTCTTTCTCTGGCTTTTAAACCATCTCTCTAATAGTAAAAGTAAACTTTTGGCCTTCCACTTTGCAGAAAATTGCTGTCAGTGCAACTGATCATTTTATCAGTTTTAGACTGATCAACACTGGGAACAAGGAACAAAAATCATCTTAAATTTTCATTAGCTGATATCTTACTTCTGGGGAAGACAATCTATGAGCAAAAAGGGTTCAAATTAGATCAAGGAAAGATAAACTAGGTAGAAAATGCTGGATAGCAGGCTGGTTATTTGTATTTAAATCTTCAGATGTTTGGTTCAAGGCCCCCAAAAAAGACCTCCTTAATTGCATGCTCTCTGTCTGCTTTAAATGTTTCTACATCCACATGTTTTCTCATAACTTCCCAAGTCATATATGTTTAGTTAATGGGTAGCTGAAAATATCTATTGCAACATTTTGCACCACTTTAAACTGGTATATTATACACAACATTTATATCCCACTGTCCTTCAGCAGGAGTGACAAAGCAATTATGCCTCTTTTGCTCGACCTTCATTTCTTATTTTCTAGTTTCATAGCCAACATACTTTAGATTCCATAAAGTCGAACATTTAGTCGAATAACCTTAAAGTTAGGTAACTTTATATGGCTTTAAAAAAAAAAAACCTTTACGTGTTTGTATCTGTGTGTGTGTGTTTCTCCCACAGGTGTGCCAGCCAAGCGTAATGAGCTGTATTATGATTGCTGTAAAGAGCCCTATCCTGATGTGACCTTCACAGTCACCATGCGCCGCAGGACCCTTTATTACGGACTAAATCTGCTCATTCCCTGTGTGCTGATCTCTGGCTTGGCCTTGCTGGTCTTCTTCTTGCCAGCTGACTCTGGAGAAAAGATCTCTCTAGGTGAGAGAAAACGACTGGAAACACAAGTGAACTATATTTAACATATCATTGGATGCATGATATATAGATACAGTACTGTAGATAGTGACAGTGATAGATACTGTAGATAATGACAGTAATAATTGATAAAAGCAAACAGTAAAACAAACAGTTGAATCACAGCCTTAAAATCATAATACCTCAGTAAACAGTTTACCTTCAATAGTCAAAGGCAGCTCTAAAAAATGGCTTTTTGACTTAAAAGAACTCAGGTTTTCAGCACTTTTAAGCCAGGCGTACACTGCGATTTTTTCAATCATTGCTGCAGCTGCAGCTTATACTGTATGACTAAACCACAGGGTTTAGTCGTACAGTGTGAGTTCACAGCTCATGATGTATGTGCAGCACGATGCCCTCATGCGATCTACCTGCTCACACTGTACTGTACGACTAAAAACCACATTGGACTCAGCTCCGCAGTGAGATGGGGCTGCTCTGACTCGTCTATCCAGAAGCCAAACAAATAGAAGAGGAATATGAAGCTCACTAGTATGAAACACACTTCATGGGCAGTTTGTGCAATTTTGTGCTGAAAGCCCTGAAAAGAAAAGGGACGTATTTGGAAAAAGGACATGGCTGAGCAAACGTGGCTAGTTTGGTCTGTCAATTTTACAGACAGAACTGCATTTCACTCATTGCATCCCCACCATGCTTCTGTGTTTGCATCTGAGAGGAAGAATAAAAAGAAGAATCCTTGTTTGGCATGCGCACTGAGCGATTTGTTGTGAGAGGCTAATCACCCCTCGTAACCCCCTGTACACTACACGACTCACGACCAGGCTGAAAGTCAGCCCATTTGAAAGTTCTTGCATGACTGGAAAATCGTCCCGAAAATTGCACAGTGTACGCCCGGCTTTACAGTCTTCTGGGAGTTTTGTTCCAGGGAGGGAGCATAGGAACTAAATGCTGCTTCTCCATGTTTGGTTTAGTTCTGGGTGTACAGAGTAGGCTTCAACTAGAAGACCTGAGTGGTCCGAAGGTTAATACACTGACAATGAATCTGTTATGTATTGAGGTGCTGATCCATTTATCGAAATATGGAAAAACTGTTGCAGTAATCAATTCTACTAAAGATAAATGCATAAATTAGATTTCTAGATCCTGCTTGGACATTAATCTTTTAATCCCAGATATTTTCGTCAGGTTAGTCGATCATGAGACCAAGATACCGGCAATAATCAGTGGTTTCTTAAATAGTTTCTTGTAGATAGGAGCATTCCTGTCCAAGGGGCCCTCAGTAGTTCAATAAATAAGTTAGGATGTCTTGAGGGGGGTTTAGGAATAGGTAGCTGGCAATCCCTTAATGCCTGGAACTACTGAGCCATCCCAGAGGCCTTGCGAGAACTTATATCAATAATTTTCTTTTAGTATTGAAACATGAATATATTCAACCGAAGTTTATAAATTAATACTGTTAATGCTGCTACTAAAACTAATAAAAAGAGTGGTATGAGGCTGCTAAAAAAAACATTCTCTGATTTAAAGTATAATGTTTTTATTTCAGGGTTTTTTAGAGCAACCTTGGGCACATTAAAGCAGCCACAACTGAAAGATGCCTGTTGTCGTGAAAATCGATTGCAGTACTATGTAATTACAGGAAGACTTTCACACACCAGTGACCCTGATCACATATTCACCTGCTGTTCTTATTTTCCTTTTCCCCGTGTCTCTGTCTTTGTCACCAAGGTATCACTGTGCTGCTTTCACTAACTGTCTTCATGCTTCTGGTAGCAGAGATTATGCCTGCCACATCTGACTCTGTGCCTCTTATCGGTGGGTTTCATTTTATATGTTTTCTTTTGTGTGTATCATAGTTTTAAATGTAATAAAAAAGAATAATGAAAAGAAGCAGATACAATTTTAGGAGAAGGTGGGACATATTTTTTTATTTTGGGTTTGCTTGGTAAATGTATCTACAATTTGTATATAAGATTACAATCCCATCCAAAAGCTTGAAACATCTTTGTTATTATTTGTTTTCCCACAACCAGATATTTATGTATACTTGACCTCTAGTATTCATATTTAGTTCTTAGAATTTTGTTTTACAATTCTTGCTTAAATATTAAAACAGGCCAACAGGCAACATAAATTGTAATCATAAAACAAATATCTCAAGCAGGAAAAAAAAAACATTTTGAAGTCATGAGAGTGACTTCAGATATTAGAGAGAAATTGTCTATCAGCTGAAGAAGGATTCTTTTTTGTGTGTATCTCATTTTCGTTAGTGAGATTTGATATCCCGGTTGCTGAATAATAGCCCAACAGGTTTGCTTTCACAAGTAGACCAACATGGCCCTAAGGTTCCACCTGGTAATTATGTAGGAAACGGAGACAGATAGGGAGGTGAAAAAGTGAGAGGAAGAAAAAGAGAGAGAAATAAAAAACAAACAAAAAAAAACTTCAACACAGAAAATACAGAATAAATCTTAAAACTCTGCTTCCACGTCTGCAAGAAACAAGAGGGGGAAAAACACAAAACATCCACCACAACAAAAGAGGGAGACACATAGAAAATACATGTATACAAACTTATTCAATTCAATACAATCCAGTTTATTTATATAGCGCCAATTTACAAGACATGTCATCTCAAGGCACTTTAGGGTTCACCAGATCATACAGTCAAATTGATTCAAAGTTTTCTATCTAAGGAAAACCAGCTGATTGCATCGACTCATTGACTCAAATGCAGTCCTTACATACTTGTAGTGACAGTGGAGAGGAAAAACTCCCTTTTAACAGGAAAAAACCTCCAGCAGAACCAGGCTCAGTGTGAGCGGCCATCTGCCGAGGCTGACTGGGGTTCAAGGAGACAGAACCAGGCGTAAAGAAAGAATATAAATAAAAAGAAAAAGTATATAAATAAAAACCTATAAAGATTTCACAATGTTTTTCTCAGCTATATGTAGTGTTAGCTGCAGCTTTATATTACACATAAATGTGTATCTGTGACGCTTCGAACCAAAGAGCTGTGGTATATATGCATGAGTGTGATTGTTTATTAGACTTGTTCAGGATTAGGATATGCTCAATGGTTGGTGTGATGGGCACAAGGCCAACACAGAGGAGACCAGAGCCCCAGATATCCAAAGGTACTCCACAATGCAGGGGACACAGGAACGGCTGCACCCATCCAAGAAGGACAGATGAAAGCCCCGGGGCCAAAGTCCAGAGGCTATGGTGCAAAGCTCGAAGGAGTCCACAGGCTCCACTGGCAGCCAGTCATGCTCAGTTCCAATTGTGGGCCCAGAGACCGGAGGCCCGGGGGGCATCACCCTAAAAGCAAAGACGTCACAGGGACACGAGGTCACGGCTGGTCCAGTAGCCGCCGGGAATGAGATGGCACCCACAGAAGCATCAACCCCTGCACACAACCACCAATGACCCAGTAGACAGAGGTACCAGTCACTGTCAGGGAGCATAAGGGAGGCCCAGCTAGTGGCCGGGCCCTAGGATTGCTGAGCAGATGGAGGTAGCCAAACATTCAACCTGAAAAGGAGACAGAAAAACATTCACAGACTTCCAGACACATTAACACAATCCCACACTTATGCTCTCATACAAACATATGCAGGAACTCAAAATGACACATAAGAATAGAGACCAAAGACTTCTGTTCAGGCCAATTGAGCAAGACAACAGGGCATAGGCATACACATCTCTATGTACTTGGTTTCCTGCTCGAAATAAACACCTATTTATTATTTTATAATTCAAGCAATATTAAAACGGTGCTTAAAATGTTATACCAACCTCCACTGCCTCTTAAGGAAACACTTTTTCATCAGTTTGCTGTTTTTCTGTCTAAGCTTTAGTTCAGTAGATTACATCTAGTTTTCAATAACTCGATAAATAGATAAGACATTATTTTCACTTGAGTCACACTCTAGATAATCCACTAAATGGAACTAGTTTAATTTTTCCCATTCCTAAAGAGAGTTTAATTTGCCATACATGTGGATAAATTTGTTGGTACCCCTTGTTTAATCAAATAAAACCCGACAATTGAACAAAAATAAAAATTCTAAGAAAATGTCCAAATTTGTGATCTTGCTTTTCAGCTTAGCTTCAATAAAATAAAATAAAAATGATGGTACCCCTAAAGTAAATGTGAACAAAGGGACATGTACAATCAAGGTGTGTCTATCAATTAGCATCACAGGTGTGAACAATACTGTAATCAGCCTGTATTTTGGGCTACAGGTAGTCACTGTGCTCCTTCGTGACATGGTGGTAATAACACTTAACATCAACAAATGTGAATTTTTCTTTCAATTAATAAGGGGTTCCAACATGTGTGTAGAGAAGTGAAGATGAAATGGACGAAATTCTGACTAAGGTGACATTATCTAAGTTGCCCAGCAAGCAAACTAAAGGGAAAAGTGAACTATTAGATCTATGACACCTTTGGATCCCATACAGTGAAATTAAGCTGCTGAATGGAATAGAGTTATTTCCTTCAAATACTTATTCCAGGTATTTCATTTCTTTGCTAATACATTTAGGAAAGCATAAAAATATTTTTGGTAGGATATTAGTGTTGTTATAGATGGGCAATAAACTCCTACCAAACTGCCAGACAGGGGCTATGTTGACGCTTTAAAAAAAATACATGCTGTTTTATATTTGCGCTAATAAATAGAAGGTCTTCAACTGTAATTTTAGTTTATAGAGTCTTTTCTACCTCTAACCTTGACTCATCTTGCAGGCTGATTTTAAACCATTTTGGGATTTATTGTAGCCTACTTTCTAGAATGTAATGAGATAATTTAGCCAGATAAAATTTTTTATTTTATTCTAGTTTTACTTTATTCATTGTTCCTGTTTTTTTCTCTTCCAGGATGGCTTCTTATTTATTTTCTGGATAACGTTTCTTTTCTAATGTGATAGGAATGAGATCATTTTATCTCTTATCACTGCTCCACCAGCCTTCCAGAGGACAGATGCTGATGTTAAGAGGAAGTGATTATACACCAAATATGAAGCCTATACTTCTTTAAAATACTTGATAAAATCTACATCTTCAAACAATGATGTATTAAATCTCTGACCTTTTATTTTGAATATTTTATTTCTTAATTTCTAGCTTTAAACAGACCGGAAAACTGATCACTGACAGCTAATGGGTAAATCTAGTCTGAAATGTTCTTTAATTGAGAGCTGCTGACCAGGAAATATAATAAATGAGAGTAAAAATTGGACATGTGAGAAAAAAGTATATTTCCTGCTGTTAGGGTGAAAAGAGTGCCATGTTTTACAAAGTTCATAATCACTCATGTACTGTTTAACTGCCAACTGTGTTGAGTTCCTGTTGTTTTTAACCACTCTATTTTTTCATTTAGGCTGAAACGGATATCGCTCCCAATAATTCCCAATAATTAAATTTTGGCCCATTCAAATTGGGCCAAAATTGCTAAGAACAAACTTTTTGGTTATGAATGGATATTATTATAATATCTACCCTTTGGAATTGTACATGCGTCTAATAGTGTGAAATGTGTATTTTTAAAAATGAAAACATTTAGAGCAGGCAGAGAACAAATAAGAGAACTCAGGTAACTTGCAATTGCAGCTGATTTATGATTATCTTGTAATAAAATTTAAGCTTTTCTCTCTACTGCCAGCTCTGTGCACATCCCATATGACAAACCTTAGTTTACCCATGTTAAAGCATGAGTTGTTAATGTTTGGTACCATAGAAATGGATATAACCCAGTGCAATAATGCTGACCTTTGGTTGTCAGAATAATAGATCATAATGGAGAGTTACAGCATAAAATAACAGATAATTAGGAGAGTGCACGGGGTTGGGTGGATGACAGATATTATGTTATATTATCTCTAAACATAACATATAGCAGGACGTTTCTGCCATATTTCAAGTGTACATATAACACATCTTTGGAAAAAAAGTTTTAGTTAAATTAGCTCCTGCAGACTGTTATCTTAAATAAGAGTGCCAAAGGAATAAACAGGTTTATTTTCTGGTTTTCTATGCAAAAAGTACAGAGTTCTTTCTTTTTAATTTAGGACCCTTTTTGTGTGTGAATGAATCAAAGTTGTTAAATTGGAGTCTAATGTAATAGCTTGAAGTCTGTCTAGATGACTGGATTAGATGTATTTCTTTAAAATATACCTTGAAACAATATTTGTTGTGGATTGGCACAATATCTATAAACAAAAAGAAACTAGATAATTATATGGCACAGTTTGTGAATCAAACATTGATCAGAAAACAAGCTATGAAAAGCAGCCAAAGTAACAAAAGCCTTGAGAGTCTGAATAACACTCACAAGATATTATCTTTTTTTTTTTTTCACAAGAAATATAGCTCATTTTAAACAAACAATTCTATATATTGCAAGATAGAAAATGGAATGTGATACATTTAAGGAAATAAAAAATTTGTAAATAATAGTTGTATCAATTCAGTAGTTTTAGAATTAAACTCTTGTAGAAGGGAGTAAAAAACAGATGGAGTGAAACCTGAATTGAAACCCATAAGAAATCATAGTTATGGACAAGTCTGCTTGTGATTCAGGAGTGCAACCCAAGTACACGGTGTCCTTGGGTTCTGGCTGAAAATGCTGCACTTCAGTCCTGGCTAATACACAAAACTGGCAACAGCAACAGGCTTTAATCTAGCCTGACAAATGCAATCAGGTAATGATGTGGCTAGGGTAACGGCTATCTTTTATAGCGTGAAATTATACTGAGGTGGCTAGACTTCCTTAAACATTACAGTAACCCCAGCAGCAAATATCCTGGATTTTCCTAGTCTCAGACATTTTCAATCTGTAGGCTTAGAACTATGTCTTATTTTTATATTAATTTTAAGTGTAGCAATGCACTTAGCATTGGTGCAGTCAAAAATAGCCTCACAAAAAAAAAAAATATATATAAATATATATATATATATATATATATATATATATATATATATATATATATATATCTTCGTTAAATCTTTGTCATTTTTATCAAATGCAACATTAGCTGATTCTGTTTATGCTTAATCCCGAGCTTTAAACATTTGAGGAAACTCTTTTCAATCCATTGTCTACAAGATAAAGAAGGATTCACTGGTCATGTAAATGAATGAATAAACTACTTTATTTTATGCAGTCCAGTAAGATTGCTCATTTAACACAAACAAACAACATCTATAATTTATTATATATCATGAAATCATATGTATAATTTCACTTTTATGTCTGAAAATTGCTATAAAGAAGTAAATTGTGGGAGAATATGTGCAGGGTTTGGTTTAGCCATGTACTTAACTAGTTATGCCTTTTTGGAAGCACTATAGCCCTATTAGATCAAATTCAATGGCATAAATCTATTTTAACTTGTGTTTTGAAGCACCAGGTTTCTAAACCCTCCAATCTGGTATAACTCAGGCACCAGGATTGGGATGCAGCTCATAGTTAAACCTAATAACATGTTCTTTTACCCAACAGCTCAGTACTTTGCCAGCACAATGATGATTGTGGGAATGTCTGTGGTGGTAACTGTCATAGTCCTGCAGTTTCACCATCATGACCCTCATGGTGGCAAGATGCCCAAGTGGGTGAGTGTGTGGAGCAAACCTAAACACCTAAGTCAATCCCCATAGTATCAATAAAGTTAAATACGCTGATCCAGTATGTTTCTTCTCAGGTTCGTGTTGTTCTGTTGAACTGGTGTGCTTGGTTCCTTCGTATGAAACAACCTGGTGATGAGCGAAAGAGGCCCAAGCACAAGTACCGCCACGCCTCCCGGCATCACTCCAGCACCAGCTCCATTGAGATGGGCACGATGCCCAGTCTCACTGTGCCTCTGTCTCAGGCATCATGTCCACCTTGCCCAACAGCTGCTTCCAATGGCTCCATGAGTCTCTTCTTTGGCAATTACCACTCCATGGAGAGCCCACATTGCCCACCTTCTAGTGACTCTGGGCTTACACTAGGTGGACGCACTCATGGATCTCCAGGTGATGAGGCTGAGCCACCTGGGGGAGTTGGTGGTGGCGTTGGAAGTCTTGGGATAGGAGTTGGCATCCCCCCACCGGAGATCATGCGCATCTTGGAAGAGGTGTCCTATATTGCCCAGAGGTTTCGTGACCAGGACGAAGCAGAGGCCATCTGTAGTGAGTGGAAGTTTGCTGCTGCCGTAGTGGACCGGCTGTGTCTGGTGGCTTTCTCGCTCTTCTCCATAATTTGCACTTTCACCATCCTCATGTCAGCTCCTAACTTCATAGAGGCTGTTTCCAAGGACTTCACATAACTGCCTGCTGAAAGACAGAGAAAGAAGGAGGTGGATATAATCAGAAATCTGAGAAAGATTTTTAGGTGAAATCATAGTCAATGAAAAATGTATTTCCAAACCTTCTTAGCAGCCACTTGTTTAGAAGTAGGCTTGTAGTGTTTCATTGGAAAATGAATATTTTCTTCAGAAAATTGTAAATAAATGTCATACAAAGCAACGTTTAAATAATGTAAATATGTAAACAACTAAGGAAATATGAACTAATTACAATTCTGTGATCAAAGAAATAGCACCCTATATGTATTGATTTTTGATTTTGATTTTTATATCACTGATAACTTACAGAACGAGGATGCAGTAGTTTCAAAAACTGCACAGGGCTGAAAACATTACTGACACATTACCCTGCTAATCAGATTAATTAGCATTCATACTATATTAAAAATAAAGAATGGAACCTTAAGAGAAAAAGCCAGCTGATGCATGTTAACACAATTATTTGAGGATGAGGAAATTATAGAAAACCTAAGATAAAAGACAGATTTGCTCCTAAAATAGCCTCAGTGAAAAAATACAGTATCTCCCCACTCACACAGTTTGATCACATTGAGGAAGGTATTATGCAAGCATAAAAGGGGGAAGCCCTCTGATGTTGTCTAACATTGAAGTAAATTATTCCTAAAGCAAAATGTTTGGCTTTCCTTAACATCTGAGTTGTTTGCTTTGAGCTGATTCATGAATTAAATACCAGATACTGAGAGCTGCTCTGTAATTATGGAGCAAGGAAAGAAAATTTAAAGAAAACAATCTGCACTGCTTGATTTGCAAAAAAGAATGACCAGGGATGCCGCAAAGTATTGCATTTATACATTCAGGGAGGGCCTCCTAATATTTTTGCAAATAGTTATTTCCTAACTAATTTAATTCTTTCCTGTGTTGAACTGTGGACCTCTGGCCTACAGACTGTTGGAGATTACCACTGCCTGGTCCTACATCAAAAAAATCATTTAAAAAGATTCTAAGACATCATTACACCTTTGGTTCTCTGTTAACTACAACATCAATCTTGTATATTGGTTTGCTTTACACCCAAATGCAAACACTTAGCCCTAAACCTTAACCCTGGTAAAAAAAAAAAAAAAAAAAAAAAAAAAAAAATCTTAAGGACCAGAAAAATTGCAGTAAAAAAAATCATTTTTAAAATATTTTTTGATTGATTGAAATGAATATTTTTTATATAGTTATAACTTTGCACAGCTGTTTTCTGGTGAAAACAGCTGTGCAAAGTGTAACAGCTGTGTTTTGGAGAGTATGTTGGAAAATATAAATAGAACCATGTAAACCCGCAAAAAATACTAAGAGATAACAAGGAAGTATATTTTTTCCTTGAATGGTTTTCACCTTACCCTTGATAAAAAAAAATGTACACTGTAGAGTAGTGATATCTACTAAGTTCCACCTCCACTGTTTCTTTCTGTTTTCTGGAAGCACCCCAACAGTCTGAACCTACACCCAACTCGTCCCTTTTAAAACTCTGAAAAATTTAATTAAAATGAATCTTTATTATTTTATAGATTTTAGTTTAAATGAGAAAATACATGAAAATGACTAGAGCTTGTGGACACTCTTAAACTTTTGGTCTAAAAAGACACAATAGTCATAAAATACACAATAGATCTAGAATAACAAAGGAATCAGATGGGGCTTTATTGGCCCTGTATAACTTCTAAGTGAATATATTAAGTTCTACTTTGTTTCATTTTATTTCTTCAAACAAGAATAATTTATAGTCTTGAAATACTGATGAATGAAGGAGGGCATGATGCATTCAGGGCTTTAACATTTATTGGCACCCATTGTGAATTATTATTTGTAAAAAGGCCTCAGATCTTGCATTATGACGTGTTTTAACAAGGTCCCCCAAACATTTTTATGATAAACAATCCCACATAGGCATGAGTTGCCTTTTTGACATTTTCATCCTTTGTTTTTAAACTCCTCTTGGGTTTCTTAAAAACTCTTTGTCTCATGTGACCAAAGTACACAGTTCCATTCAGAGCCACAGAACAGTTTACTAATTTTAACATTTTGATGTTGTGATTGTATAATGGACAAACTTTTTTCCCCTGAACCCTAAACAATCTGTTGGCATATACCGTAGATAATGCCCCCTGGTTATTATACACTAATGTTAACAACAAAGAGGTTTCTCTTTGCTGCTGTTCTATAAGTGAGCTCTGGAGATTATTCACCCCTCACTAACTTGCATGGAGGCAAGACTCGTATAACTTCTTAACCAGACATTTGTCACCTGGCTAAGAGTAATAGGTACCCACAAAAACACAAACTTGTAAATATAAATAATATTTAAGTTCCATTTGATTTAAAAGGGTTAAGAATTGCTACATGCTCATCATACTTATAAAAAACTGACCTTTTTCACTACATTTGAAGGAAGATTTGTGTACATGTGGTGGCGGGGGTGGTAACACATTTTTAACACAGTGCCAACAAATTTGGCTTTCAAAGTTTAATAGTAATTTACTAAAACTCCCTTTTTGTTTATTTTACTTTTGTGCTGTTATCCATTTTGATGCATTACTTGGATTCCTTTTTATATTTATTTAATGGGGATACAAATAACGTAAACCTTTGAAATGGTCTCTGATGTTGAGGTGCAATATGACTTTCGAATTTTAAATACAACCAACAATAACTCGGGGCTTAGCAGCAGACCAAAAGCTTACCACCATTTTACTAAAGGATATATTGTTTATTAAAAAAAAAAAAAAAAAGCTCCAGTTTTTACAATTTATCTGTTTTGCAGATGGAGCTGGGGGAGTGAACATTTTTGATGTTACTAAATGTGTCTCAATCTTCCAGTTTTCATTGTGGTTGCAGTCTTTGGACTCTTCATCTCTGTCTTTCTGACCATTTTGACTTTTAATAAAAAGTATTTATTCTGTGTATAACAGGCTCTGCATGAGTGTCTATTACAGTTACAATATGATAAATATTAAAACATAATTTCTACTTATGTAGCGAGTAAATGTATTAGTTAGAAGATTGCTTGCTACTTTATCCAGTTTCAGGTCAATCAAACTAAAGATTCAGAGGTTTCCTGAATTTCAAGTCAAATGGTAAGAAATCAGATTGTGCCCAGGCAGATAGAGGGAATTGAAAGAAAGAAGTTCAACTATCAGTCTAATGTCCAAAAAATTGCAAAGGGGCTCATTAGAGAATTTCATTTCTCCACCAGCATCCCAACTGAGAGATAATAAAACACTTGCATTTTACAACTGTTATCGCTATGATTTAAATCAAAACATCTTTTGATGCTTGAAATGTTTATTGCCATTAACTCCCATTAATTCTCCATTATTTTTTAAAGAAAACTCTGTTTTGGATGATTATCCCTCAGCCAACTTCAGGGAAAGATGAAAATATTGCCATGAAATCTAAAATAGGCCAAACTAACTACACACAATCCAAAATGAATATCTATGTAGGACATCATTTGATTTTTTTCTTTTAGTGAGAATGCTCTATATTTTTTTCTGCAAAACTATGGAAAACATCTGGGTAATGTTCTGTTCTCTAATGTTTAGTGGATTATTCTGTATCAGCAAAGCCCAGATTTCAGGCAATAAATCTTCTGTAAAAAAAAACAAAAAACAAAACAATGAAACATAAACAACTGTTTCATTAAAAGGAATACTGCATAAACTTACTGTTCAAAGAAGGCAGAATTTGTTTCTGGAGCATCAACCACATTCTTATCTGAACATAACCTATTTCCCCTGAACTCAACCATGACACTGTAATTCTCTCTGATGTTAAATTCATGCAAAAAAACAACAACTAATAAGACATCAGGGGCAAAGATTAGAGATAAAAACTCTTGATAAAACACTGCATACCAGAACCTTAATAGCCTTAAAGGTATAGCAGAGGATGTTCTTCTTCTGGGTGGATCATAAAAAATAAGTGGTCCTCCTAATTGTCAATCATTCTGGTGATATGTTTATGTAAGGCTGTCTTTTGCTCATCCCCAATTTCACTTACTGGTGGTGAGTCTGACATAGTGGAAAAATTGCATATCATCTTTTGGAAAGTAAGCTTGTATGAGTGATGTAAAGAGCAACTTTTAAACAGAACATGCACAAGAAGAAATGGGCTCCTGCATGCTCTCACACGTGTTTAATTGGTGTTCCCTCTCGGGAGTGGGTACAGGGTTATGCATGTGCATTTTCTTTTTTTTTAAGTGGAGAGGGGGCTGGTCTTTTCAAAAATTTGCAAAAAGCCTCCACTATATCATTATGCTGTTTCAAATTAAAAGGAAAGTTGAGCAAACGTATTTAATGTAAATGAATAACTTGGTAATAAATACCCAATTCCCACCCTTTAATGTTCCATTAATAATGAAATACCTTTGATCAAATTAATTGCAAATGTTGTGAGCAAAATCCATGATCAAAATAATATCAGGTTCAAACTGCTTAAAGTTCTTAAACCAAGAACTATTGATGTAAACATTTCATCTGACATTGAAGACATAACTGTTTGCCTTTGCTTTTCTATTACTTTTCATCAGCAAATGGAAGCAGATGGTATTGAGTTTAAATCTAAGTGTCAGGATGCATTATGCTTAAAGGTTGATGAAACATACTTCTACATGCCAACAGAGCCACATTTACTCACTCACTGTGCACAGCAGAGCTTTGAGTGAAACCAGATTCAACTGTCAAACTGCTGAGCTCAGCACACATAACATAATCTCCACAAGGGATCAAAAGTTATGAACAAAAACAGACATTTTCCTTTTTTTTCCCAAGCTGCTCCGATTAAGATATCATTCTTGGGTTTATGATTTATGTAGGTAAACTCTATTTAGGTGCAAATCATGGCAAGATGATTGAAGCTGCAGGGGGAAATGTGAAAAGGGCAGGAAAGTATTAAAATCTGTTTTAAAAGTTCAAAATGCAGCTCAGGCTTATTATCACCCAAGGTAGCACCTGACCCCTGTCTGCAGAATTGCTGACCCAGTGTTATCTTCAGAAAAAAAATAAAAAAGCTCTCAGTGCGTATATGATTTCGAGTGGCAGGTATTGTATAGAAGACTGAAATGTGTTTATTGGCTGTTTTAGAGGATTTGGCAGCTGAATCTTATTGCATTCCCAAAACAGAGAAGCTGCATGTCCCCTGGGCCCATTACCAGCTTTCCTGCTCCCACTTCACGTTTTCTCATTCCATCCCCAATCAGTCCAACAGCCTGGAGAGAATAAATAATCCTGAGAGATGCTCTGGCCACCTGTCCGGTCCTAACAAAAAATAGGATTAGAGTTCCTGTCCTTCTGTCATTTTTTTACAGGCCATAGAGGAAACTTTTTAAATCAAATTTTAAAAGATATTGAAATTTAGATAAAACATATTTCAATTAAATCAACTACAACTGCAACAACTGCTACAAATTCTTTAAATGTCCAAAGATTATATTACTTTTCAACAATAACAGATGCTGTAAATCTTTTGATGTGTGTACTCAGCAGATCTGCTTAAAACCTGGTTGAATGACAAATACGACTCCATCGTATTTTTCATTGCAACCTATTTCGGTTAAGGTGAAAATACAGGTATGTTAACTTTCTGGTCAACTTATAAATGAGTCAGTAAAGGATCAGCATAATTTATGGTGTTGAGTAGAGAACAAAATTGAGCCTAAGGAAGCATATATGGAAACTATATCAGCAGGGGTCTTTTTTCTGCTCTGGATACAGAAGAAAACTGTATTCAGAGACCAAGAGAAAGGGGTAAAACATGCCAAACCTGGATGGAGCTGAATAGCAAACCTAAAGAAACTAGTTAAACTTTTTGAGAAGACAGGCCAGAATTCCTTCAGGGATGTTCACAAACCAGAAAAACAAACAAAAAAAAGTCCTAAATGAATAGTGTATAATAATTGAAGGGATTTATTGACAGATTCAC